TTACAAATAACTACTATTAAAAATAAAAAAAAAAAAAAAAAATAGAAATCATACTTGACTTCGTGAACATCCTTTTGCCTCAATGCACCTCTTCGAACAATACCTTTACCTTCGATTCGTTGCACTGAAATAAAACCTTTTTTTTTTATTAAACTAAAATTTAATTAACTTATTCTCAAGAGTCAAATATTACCTTTTAAAACATGATTGTTTCTTGATATTTGCAGAAAATCGCAAGTTTAATGAGTCAGTTTATTACAAATTAATTATTTAGCATCTATTATGCAGCTGTTATACAATTCCACCATTAAAATACAGTTTATCAGAAAGTTTATCAGATACTTCACAATGCTAATTTGCAACATTGTCTTAGCAAAACTTGAATTGGTTTGAAGGATCGATTGAGTGGTTTCTGCAACATTGGACACTTTTGATAACTTAAGATGGCCTCACATAAGTTGAAAGCTCCTTTTGTGCTCTGAAGTAATTTTCAAACAACTAAAAATTCCTAATTATCTCTCAAATAATTCCATCCCTTCCAGATTATTCCTAAAAATAATGAATTCTTTTATTTTTACTAAAATAAAAATTATTCACAAAGCAATTTCTTTCAAATTGCAATTCATAAGCAAATTAGCTCTCATCACGAATTTTAAATGATTAAAGTACATTTAAATTGACGATAATTTCATCGCAATTTTGTTTGAATTGCTTCACAGCTAATATTGAATTTTACCCAGAATTGCAGCGCTGAAAAAATCAGCTTAAAAAAAAAGAGAACATTGCAGGACATCAATATTACGAAGCATTTCTGAGTGAAGACATTAAAAAGATGTTGGTATGAATTGCCCTACGATAAATTGCTCTATGATAATGGTACACTGGATGAAGAAGATGATTTTTCGAGGCAATTTTCTGGTAAACAAAAGTATCCCGAGTGACCAATAATAAATTAGAAGCTGAAAATATGTATAAACAATAACAATAAGGAATGTTTACACTGAACTGTTTGTAGAACAAGTAATGATAAAAAAAAAAAGAACGCAACTAATCAAATCACAAATGCCAGATGGTGAAAGTGATACAAGTAGAATCCAGGAATGATTTGCATGCAGTTTTCAGCGAATGGCAACAATTCTCACATTTTCTCAGAGCTTTATGAGTTGATAAAAATTTTAGATAAATTTGTAATTTCTTCCGTAATGCATCACCAACTCGTCGGCAATTAGATTGCATTTTTAATTCTCCACTCTGTTCATCGTCATCATTTCGACTGCTCTCGATATAGACGCTTTGTTCATCGAGATCTGTACCACAATTGGCTTTCTCAAAGTTTTGATACATTAAATCAGTGGTGCTAGAAGTGGGCGGTAAAATGATCGCATACAATGGATCAAGGAAATTTGATGATGATCGGTTGCATAAGCAACAATTTTCTGGATGACAGGATGATGAGCCTGAATTGTTGTTACCGCATTGCGAACTATGCAGTAGAATGTCGTGAAAAACAGAAACAAAGTCATTTGCAGCTAGAATATCGGAACATGATATGGACATAGACTTCTTCATTCGATTTTGCTGATCCTGGAGTTGTTCGTTGTTTGCAATTCGATACTTGCAATTCATCTTGCATTTCTCATCCAATTTTTGAATAGTCCAGCAGTATTTGATGTTTGTAAATTGAGAACTATGTGATAACTATTAATACGATAGCACTGTAACTCCCGGAATTAAAATTCGAATTAGAATTAGAATTAGAATTAGTAATAGGTTGGAAGAAAAATCTTCACATATCGAACATACAAATTTGCAAGGAATGAATGAAAATTGTATATTGTGCTCTTCTGAAACGATGAATACACTTTTTTTTGAAAACGAATTTTTTCTCCTCTTAACATAGCAACTCAATGATTCAGCATTTACTCTTGCACCAACTATACCATCAAGAAATACGCCTTTTATGCTTTTCCGTGTTATCTCTACACCTCATCTATTATTGTTGTTATCACTATTGTAAATTCTATCTTAAACATTTTTGCTAACTTCAATTACTTTACAGAAAAAAAACCTTAAAAATCAAAAATGATCAAATATTGGCTGAGTAACGATAGTTGATAGTTGCAATAAGAGAACGAAAATTGGCATATCAGTTGTAGTACTATCTGTGCGTATTCATCATCATGTTTGGCATTGTGTCATTTCAACAGGGAAACCATATGTTTCCAATAATACTGGTTTTAGAGAAGATAATTTGCATACACTGTACAATTCTCTTTTACTATCGTTTTGAGTTTGTTAAACTTTCAGTTGTAAAATAATAAAACTCTCCCAAGCAATTTTTGAATTTATGGAAAAACAATGGCAAAAAACAAACAAAACAAAACCACAATAGGAATTTATTTTCTTCTCTGATTGCCACTTTCTGAGAAAAAGGATAAAATTTTCGACTTTTGAAGCAAACTATCACTACACTAACAATAGGAAGAAAGTAAATGCATTCAGATTTCTCTAAGTACAATGTCATCTGAAGATCTAAAAGAATATGACTTTCAGTTCTTTAACAAGCAACTAAACAACCTCCAAGAATTGTGTTATTGTTAGATTACTTTTATCTAATGCATTAAATATAGAAACATAATGAGATTCGAGATCATAATTGAAGGAGATCAGAGAGAAAAATGGACATACCAAAAGCTTCGGAAAGTTTCCTGAGTAATTTGGATGATTCCAGCACTGGATCGGCAGCACCAATGGAACGATTTTGAAAGTCAGTTTGTTCCATTTTATTAGCATTAAGCAATGCTTGGTCAAAATTATGAGTTTGTAGACTATACTTTTCAGTCTTCAACAAAGTAGAATTAGAATCACCGGAATTAGTATCATCACATCCAGCTTCCGGATTATTAATTGCATCCGCATCACTAGTTGACGACTGATCAACATTAATCAGAATTGCAGATTCCGTTGACATATCGATGGGTGATTTCACATGATATTATCTAACATTCTGCTGATGAAGGAGCGTTTATACGTCTGCTAAATTGGAAAAAAAAATGTTTGTAATTGACGTAATCAGAATATGCAAATAAAATAAGAAATCACGCTTCAAAAAGAAAAAAAAAATGAAAAGAAATATGAGCGGGAGAAATGATTTAATGATTCTGAAAAATTATGAATGAAGTTATGAATTAAATGTGTAAGCAAACAATCATCCCGAACTTCAATCATGCAATTAATATTTTGATTACATAGCTAGCCATTAGTGACCATTTAGAAAATCTATTCTGTTTTTTGCTAAATGGAACAATAAAACTGAAAATGTGCTTTCTAGAAACCATTTTCACCGTTTCAGAAATTTTGATTAACTTTCACTGAACATTTTAGAAAAGACAAAAAATAATAAAAAAAAACAGAGTTTTTAATAGCATTTATAAAGTGTAAGCCATACATTTAGCATGGTTAGCATATTAAAAAAGACTTAAGGAGCAAATTTTCCAAGCATCTGCTCGCACATTTGGTAACCATTTGTTCCTCAAATTCTCCATAGTTCATCCCTCTTATCATATTTAAATTTACTACTTCTACTACTGCTACTATTACTACTACTACTCGTTTGCTACAAAAATTTGCTGGGTAAGCAGAAAATTAAAAGTGATAGTTTTCATTGTTTACTATGAAAATGGTACTTTTTTGTGGGATGAAGAAAATATAATTGTGCCAAAATGATAAACACACATAACATGAAATGACGAAAGAGAAAGTTGTTAAATAATGAGGTTTAAAGGTCGAGAATGTTGTAGAAATGTCCATTGAAGCGAAAAAAAAGAGTCTCTATGAATGATTTTCCGAAAATGTTAATTCTTAGCAGTTTAATCTAATTTAAATTTAATCCAACCTCTAGAAAAAAAAATTAATCTAGTCTCTAAAAAAATAAAAAAAAACTAATTAATATTCAGTTTTCAAGCTAAAAATCATTACAACGTTATACGATCCAGCTAAACAATCCTTTAGAATTCAAATTTGCTTTTCTTTTTCGCTAATCTGATTCCGATTTTTTTTTTTGTTGTTTCTTCCATTAAAAAAAATATATGATGATCGAAATTTCGCCAAAATTGCAAACAGTATTAATTAGTTAATTGGTAGAAAAAAGACAATAATTAATCTATCACAAGAAGATTGATTGATAAATGCGATGAATGCATTAAATTTATGTTATCCCCACGGGATGTTTGCAATTTTTGCATGCAAAAACAGTGCATGATGTTGCTGAATGTTCTTGTTGTTTGCAATTTTCCAAACAAAAAAAAAAAAAACAAAAAAACAAAACAAACAAGCACCAATTTTGTTTGAAGAGAGCGATTCGACTACTAAAAATTTCAATGAATAAATTGAGTAAAGTTATCCATACTAAGGCGTTAATGGCTGTAAGATTAGAATTAAGCAAAAATTTAGTGTAAACAAGTCGCCTACTGGATACTGGGGCTTCTTTGTAATTTTATTTAGTTGCTATCTCGTAATCTTAATTATTACATCAAAGTTTCCCGACATGCAACCTAAAAAGAGAAACACACGAAACTGTTGGATATTTCCATCCAGTCTGATGTAAATTTTTGAATATGGAAATCCATTCTTTCCCACTGTCCACCTCCTCCTCTCTCTTATTACTTACTTTAAAACTTACCTTTGTAAATCAGTGAAATTTTTATCTGAAAGCGAAATTCACAACTTTATTGTTTATGGTGTTCACTTAATCTTACTCTTACATCTTAATTATTAAATTGTCAGAACATTTTTAAAACTATTTTCAATTATTCATTGGTTTGTTAAGCAACCTCGGAAATTTCCCAAAAATTATGAAATAATTCGATGTTGGTGTCGAAATCAACAAAATCGGAAATGTTTGGTGCTGTAAAGTGCCAAAGAATTGATTTCTTAGTAGAGATGTACTCACTGCGATTTTCTTTTTTTTTTTAAAAAAAGCACAGGAAAGATTGTTTTTTTTTTACCTAGCTAGTGGTCCAAAAAGCGCATTAATATATGTTTTCAATGAAGTATTGTTAAAATTTATTTGTTCAGTTTTACATGTCATTAGAATGCAACAACAATGCATGCATCATTGTAAACTACCATTTTTATCTTTGGTTTTATAGTTATCTGAATAATCTGTGCAATAGTTTCTGTAAAGTATGAATTGATTTTTGAGCAATCTTATGTATGGCTGTGCAATTTTACTTTAACAGTATTATTGAACAGTAAATTTTTGCATTACTTACCTAATTAATGATATTACATCAATATTACATTGCTAATATTGGCAGAATTTTATTTTGGAACAAAGTTTACGAACTTTTAACGCTCATCAGTTTAAGTTGTTCCAGCAATCGCTGTCATAACAAACAGTTTTGCGGGAAACAGCAAATTGTTGCAAAAAATGAAATTTTGATAGCCAGTTTCAATTCTCAGCAAAAAAGAAGTCTAATGGTGAAACAAGTCAGGTTAAGGTGACCAGTTATAATGTAAAATTTCTTCATACTTAGATATAAGTCAAACACTATCGTAATCCTGATAACAGATCAGTTCATTAGATGGTCTGGTATTTTTAGTACATAATTTTTCATTATTTTCGATAACTGAAAAACAAATAACATCGAAGCAATAGGCTAAATGATTTAGCTGATACTATTTTGTTGCAGAAATTTTCGTATAATATTCAAAATGATTGATAATTAGTGCTTATTAAATTACTCTCTCATTGTTCTTATCATTGTATAAAAGACTCCATGCCTTAAAAAAATTAATACCTTAAGACAGAGAAGAAGGAAGACATTATCAGACGTATTGTAATCAAAATGAGACAAGTTAAAGTATAAAAGTTTTCGTATGGTTTTAAAAGATTTGTATCATAATGTTGAAGAATGGTAATGATTTGATAAACATTGTTATCAAAGAAAGAATAAAAGGTAAGAGTGGTAAAGTGTAAAATTGAAAAGAACTGTGAAATGATGAAGTCAAAGTACGTTAGATTTTCTATAATGGCCAATCTGATGAAATAATGACCAATCTTTTGAAAGGGCAGTGACCATAGATTATTACAAGAATTTAAAATATCATTAAGACCTTAAACTACTATAGGAACCTGAAATACCATTGGAGTGGTTGGTAAGTAACTGTTATATCAAATTGGCCGTAACTGTGCAACCTGTAAAAGTAGCAGTTTTGATAGGAATGAAAATTCGTGAAAGTGATGGATTTACCATACATTATTAAATAGAGAGATGATTGTGTTTAGCTAAGATTAATTCAAATTCAAATTATATCGGGTTGAATTCATTTTAAAAAGGAAATAAAATTAGCGTTCAAATCTTTACAAAAGCATAAAAAAGTTACATTTGACTGCTGTGACATGTAATCCTTGTTAAGAAGAATAATATGGAAAGTACTGCATCAATTAGTATTCATAAATCACCTCAATAAATACCTCATATAGACTTTTTGTTTTGAGAGATTTAAATTTTGCTGACTACTTGATTTTCAGTTGAGGCACTTAGTTTACTTGAAATGCTCAAGATGGTCCTCAAGGTAATCATTTGTTAACGAGGAATCCGTGTAACAATCAGATGATACGTTCCAAACGACAACTTGCCTCTGATTTATGAATTTCAACAGTGGTTTTTATGAATTTGCTGCATTTTTCACGAATATTAGTTTCAGCGATCAATTTCAATCATTGCTTCACCATTTTTGTGCTTAATGCTTATCACTAATGGATTCTATTGTTGTCACAAGGTGAATTTACTTTACTTAAGACTACAATAAGTTTCGGTTTAGGAATTTCGATTATTTGTTTGCTAAAAACTACAAGAATTCTACCAGCTAACAATTCATTTAAATGTTAAAGATGTTACTGATTTCATTAAACTTCGAAATAAGATCATAACTGGTACATTATTTCGGATTTTGCAACAAAATTTGATTGTGATACTACTGACTGTGAGAAAAATCTCCGTGACCATAGATTAAATTCTGAACAATAAGCAAAATTTTAGGAAATAATGATATTTATGGTAACAAAATAAACCAAATTTGCGTATTACTTGATGTTGTAGACAGGCCATGGTCACATGAATGAATTTTTAAGATAGCACTGACATTTTTGACTTTCGGAAGGTATTAGCCCGCTAACATGTTCACTAATTTGAATTTTTGACCATTAATAGTTATAATTCTTCGAACTTTGCAGCTGCTATTGCAGAAAACTTTCATTTCAATAATATTTCTACGAATTGTATAATTAATTAACTATTAAATAGTCTTCCTTGGCCAGGTGACCTTAGCAGAAAAGTTTAGAACTTGATAAGTCTTAACATTCAAATAAAAATGACAAAAGATCGATAAAGTTACCATCCTGTCACTTTGTATCGCATATATTCAGATTGTTTGAAAATTTATGAACAATCTAAATTCTTGAGGAAATGAAAACATAATGAATGATTATTTTTTGATGCAAATGGGCATTGCAAAATCTTATTTCTTTCTTAAAAGATTGTAAATTCAAGAAAATGTATGAATACATTTCTTCGTAGATATGATAATAATGATAGGTAAATATTTATGTCCGTTAATGTGTACTTTTAATAACCTTTACTAAATTTTAATTAACACTACATCCTAGTTGGTATTACTTTATTTTCCTGATTTCGCCCTAAATTTGGAGAGCTTCCATGTGCGACAAAAATTGTGACATATGCTGAAGATATCCAATATCTCCACCGGCAAAAAGTTGGTAATGACAACACCGTTAATTCCCAAGGATGTCGGTCAAAGGTACTGTATTCTGATTTGATTGAAATTTTGCTGACATTTTAAATGTTGTAAATGAATTTTTTGGAATTATGGTTATTTGCATTTTCCAAGATTTTAATTTTTAAAAAAAGCTGACTAACTGCTTTACTTCCCACATTATTTATTTCATTTAAGGGAAACAGCTGCTCATAACGATGAAGAAAACTTAGCAAAGATTAATCATTGGTGCAATTAGAATTGCTTCTATTCAATGAAGTAGGACTAGTATTGATTTTTTTTTAAATTTGCAAGCAGATTGAGATTGAAATAAGTGCAAAAAACTTTGATCACCTGCTAATTATTGACCTTAATCAGATTTCTGACCATTTCTGAATTGTTAAGATCAAAAGCCGATTGTTGCTTTTAATTTTAACTTCAACAAATTTTTGCTGACAAGACACATTTGCAGTTTGAATGGAAAGGATTTAAATTGAACTGTATTGATAACTCTGGAAAAAAATTACAAAGAAAGATCAAAAGATGTTCTAGATGAAATGATTAAATAATGACAATGGAGTTGGCTCACGAAACCAAACTTGTTTAAAACTTGCTTCATTAAGGCATAATTATTGGTTAATTGATCAGGAAATTGCGCAAAAATCGAAGAAGGTTTGAATTTCAATTCGTTCCACTAACACTTATTTTGAAAATAAAGGAATAAATATTCAGATTGATTATTAAAATTCTTAAACTCATTTGTCAAGATGCAGTCAATTTATGAATTGAGTGATTTGCTGCATTTTGACAAAGGCACATGCACAGGGTTACTCATTATAAAAGTTCAAACTTCGTTTTATATTAATTAAATTGGAAGTAGTAAACATACAAAAAGTAAGTTACGATAAAGAAAATCGATTTCGAGCCGTTTGCACTAAGAAGGACACCGTTGACAATTTAGATAATTTCTGAACTGACTTTCTAATCAATCGATGCAGTTTTTTTTGTTGTGTCACCTTAATGCATTTTCATTACAGCCATTTTCTTGCACAAAAATATAAAATATGATAGTCCCATATATTTACTGATCATTTTTTCAAAGTTATTATTTATTATTACTACTTATTACTATTATTTATTATTACTATTTATTATTACCATTTGTTCTTATTATCATTACTATTTATTACTATTGTTTTACCATTATTATTATTATTATTATTATTATTATTATTATTATTATTATTATTATTATTATTATTATTATTATTATTATTATTATTTTATTATTTTA